GTGGGCAAAGGATGTGAATAGGCACTTTGCAAAAGAAGACATTTATGCAGCCAACAAACACATGAAAAAGAGCTCATCATACTGGTCATTAGAGAAATGCAAATCAAAATGACAATGAGATACCATCTCATGCCAGTTAGAATGGCGATAATTAAAAAATCAGGAGACAACAAATGCTGGAGAAGATGTGGTGAAACAGGACTGCTTTTACACTGTTGGTGGGAGTATAAATTAATTCAGCCATTGTGGAAGACAGTGTGCCAATTCCTCAAAGATCTAGAAATAGAAATACCATTTGACCCAGCAATCCCATTACTGGGTATATACTCAAAGGATTATAAATCATTCTATTATAAAGACACATGCACACGTATGTTTACTGCAGCACTGTTCACAATAGAAAAGACTTGGAACCAACTCCAATGCCCATCAATGATAGGCTGGATAAAGAAAATGTGGCACATATACACCATGGAATACTATGAAGCCACAAACAAGGATGAGTTCGTGTCCTTTGCAGGGACATGAATGAAACTGGAAACCATCATTCTCAGCAAACTGACACAAGAACAGAAAACCAAACACCACATGTTCTCACTCATAAGTGAGTGTTGAACAATGAGAACACATGACACAGGGAGGGGCGCATCACATACCAGGTCCTGGGGGGTAGGGGCTAGGGGATGGGGTAGCATTAGGAGAAATACCTAATGTAGACGACGAGGTGATGGATGCAGCCCTAAATCTCAATTTAAGATTTGAGTTTAAGATTTAAGTTGTAAAAATAATAAAATACTAGCAGATGCTGCAGAGTAAAATTAGAGAAAAAAGGAAGAAGGAACTGTGGATATGCTTATTTTCTTACTTTACAAAGTGATATACATATATACATATATGTATACATATATACAAATATTTTATACACACACACACACATATATATTCTATAGATGACTAGCAAAAATAGAGGTTTAAATACATTAGGTAAAATTTGAAAATAACCAAGAGCAGAACTAGACTATTAGTAAAATTATCCATTTCTCATTTTAAGATGGAGAAATAAATTTCTAACTCTATCTGCTTTCTAAAAACCAGTCAGAAAAGAACAAGAATAAAAATGGAATAAAAAAATCCCAGCTAAGAGGAAATCAAGAAACACCTATGACCTGAACTTTAATATTTTATAAAGAAGTGCTGCTAAGTGTAGTGAAGGTAAGACCAGGGTGAGGGTGAGAAAGGATGCCACTTGGGAGGCTGAGGTGAAAGGATCATCTGAGCCTGGGAGTTTGAGGCTGTGGTAAGCCATGATCGTGCCATCATACTCTAGCTTGAACAACAGAGTGAGGCCCTGCCTCAAGGAAGCAAACAAACGAACACCTCTGATATCTCTCTCCCATTTTCCCCAAAGAAAGTCTTTCTACACAGAAAGAGTTTAGGTCCAAAAATGAGAATATCTAAGAAAAGGAACCAAGAATGGTTTCACAACTCTGAAAATATGCCAAAAAAAATTGAACCGTACACTTTAAGTTGGTGAAACATACTGTATGTGAATTATATTTCAATAAATCTTTTTTAAAAAGAAGCCAGGAGACAAATTCATTACAGAATAAAAGGCAAAGGAGATAAACCAAATTCAGCATTTGCCAGGAAAAAAATTTATTGTGGGATAGTTGAAAATTATGACCAAACAACTTCATATGGATTCAAGGAACTTGGTGAAAAAGTGGCCATCATGAAGGAAGAGTTCAAAGTGCAGATAAAAGAAGTGACAGAAGTAATAAGACAACATAAGAAGGTAAAATTGAGCCCAGGAAAAATGTAGAAGAGAAAAGTGATAACACCACAGACATGGAAATCACACAAAGAACAACAGATACTGCTGAAAAGCTAAAGAAATAGAGGACAGGTTTAGGAAAACTGAGCAAAAGAAAAAAGTTTTAAAGAATTGTAGAAAAAATCATATACAAGGGAAACAGCTACAGGAGAGTTCATGTTCAATTACAGATTCTTCAGAAGACAAAACAACCAAGCACACAAAACATTTTCAAAATATAATCCAAGAAAATTCTTCTAAAATAAAAGACTTGAATCTATAAACAGGTATACCATCTTCCAGGAAGAAGTAACAAAGATTAATCAGCCTAGAACATACTATATAAAAGTTACCGGACTTCAAAGATATGATCTTTCAGACAAAAAAATCAAATTGCTTCAAGGGGATGAGATAGAAATCAGGTTGGCTTCATACTTCCTTAAAGCAACAGTCCACATTGCAGAAATTCACTATCTTCAAACACCTCATAGAAAGTATGACTCAAGAATCTTATTTCTAGCCAAAGCATAGTTCAAGCATAAAGGCAATATGCAGATTATTTCAAATATACAACTATTCAAAGAAGACAGTTCCTAGGGCTCCTTCTTGAAAACAGCTACTAACAATTAGCTCCATCAATTAAAGACAAATGGAGAAAGAAAATAATTAAATGTCCAATACGATAAGTTACAAAAAGAATAGCAGAATAATCTTAAGAGCAAAAGAAGGGAGACATTAGTGAAGATAAAAGCAACAATTAAAGAACTAGAAAAGGGAAGAAATGTAGGACAAACAAACACCTCCTAGAGAATGTTCCTAAGGAAAAATAAAAGGGTAAACATTTACCTAAGCTAATCAAACAACATAAATAAGAAGGGGAGACATGAATAAATAATAAAAATGAACATGAAGAAATAAGCATAGATACTGAGGAAATTAAATTTTAAGAGAATACATCATTGCTCAGCTTTATGCAAATAAATGTAATAGATAATTAGCTTGGGAAATATAAATTATCAACACTGATCCCAGAAAAGACAAATAAATCAATTTCTAAAAAATTTTACAAGTTAATTATATCAAATCTTTCAGGAACATAAACCTTAATATTCTATAAATGGTTCCAGAGTATAGAAAAAAAATTTCCAAAATCTTACCAACTCAACATTGACACAGTCTAATCCCTAAACATTATAAACAAGGATACTAGCTGATAGACTCTAGTCTATTATTAAGCAAACATATATCATGATCAAGAAAGACTCATACAAAAAAACGCAAAGGTGGGCTGGTCATGGTGGCTCATGCCTGTAATCACAGCACTTTGGGAGGCTGAGGCAGGCAGGTCACTTGAGGTCAGGGGTTTGAGACCAGCTGGCCAACATGGTGAAAACCCAACTACTAAAAATACAAAAATTAGCTGGGTGTGCTGGCACATGCCTGTAATCCCAGCTACTTAGGAGGCTCAGACAGGAGAACTGCTTGAATCTGGGGAGCAGAGGTTGCAGTGAGCCAAGATCAAGCCATTGCACCCCAGCCTGGGTGAAGAAGTGAGACTCTGTCTCAAAAAAAAAGAAGCAAAGGTGGTTTAATATTAAGAAATCTATTATTATAACTTACACATAGATCAAAGGAGAAATACTGCATAAACATTCGTGCAGATGCTGAAAAGTCATCTAACAACATTTAATATCTCTATTGAATCACAAAAAAGTATATTAATACAATACTAATAGATTAGTAGTTTCTTAATATGAAAAACATACTACTTTATTTCAAAGGCCAGAAACTATACAGTGAGTCTCATTAAAATCAGAAACAAAATAAGGGTGAATACCATTATCACTATTACTTAACTTTGGGCAATACTAGCCAATGTCATTAGAGAAGAGAAAGAAAAAAAAAGTAAGTTCAAAAAGAAAAACAAAGAAAACATTATTATTTGCAGATGAGATGAACTATGCCAGAAGGCCCAGAAAAACCAACTAAAAAAAAAATCCCTATTTCCAAAAGTAAGAAAATTTAGCAAGGTGGTTGAGAACAAAATTAAAACACAAAAATCAACAGTTCACCCTATATACACCATAATCATCTAGTAGATATAAGTATCCAATTTATGATTACAAGAGATATAGTAAAATCCTTAGGAATAAGCTTAAGAAACGTACATTATTCCATAAAGCAAACTTGAAAACATTATTTAAGGCCATTAAAAAAGACTTGAATAAATAATAAGATGTATCATATTCTTATATAGGAATGACAGTAATGATGGCATCCTCTCTAAATAAATCTATAAATTGAACTTTCTAAATAAAAACACTGACACCATTATTTTTGGAATAAAGCCAGAAAAAAGCAATAAGGGATAATCAGCCCTACCAGGTACAGAAAAGCATTATAAAAATTACAGTAATTAAAGTAGTTTGGTACCAGCAGATGAACACGAAGATCTATGGAATAGATATCCCAGAAGCAGATGTCAATCTGTATAGGGATTTTGTTTCTGATAAAGTTGGCATTTCAAATCACTAAAATTGTGTATTTAATAAATGGACAAGAGGGTAGAGATCCAGAAAATATAAAATTAAATCCTTTCACTTTACACCAAAATTAATTTTAGATAAATTATTTAGATTAACTATTTGGATAAGAAAAAATAAAAGTAAAAGAAATTATATATTTGACTTTATAAAAATTTTGTTTTTCTTCACGGCAAAAATCCCAATTACATTTTTTATTTCCAAGCATTAATTTAGCTTGTTTTATTGTACCTCCATGGTCATTTAAAAATATTTTTTCTCTTCATATAAATGATTTGAATATTTAATCCCGTCTTTCATTTAATCAGATTAAATACACTTATTCTTATCTAATAATTTAATATGTGAAGGCTTTGTAAGTCTCATTCAGCTGCTTCTTTATGCTGGGGCTTAACTTTGAGTGGCTTGTTGTTTGTTTTGGTTTATTTGTTTGTCTTTAGATTCTTGACTGTACTATCACATTCCTTGGAACTTTTCTAAAAGAATTCTTCTTCAGAGATTTGCATTCACTTCAGCAGTGGCCAAGGGGCATGGTCATTTTAAATGATATTCTTGGCTTGAGGATTTGTAGATCACTCAGGTGGTACAAAATCAACGGTGCTAGGTAGCATTTTTGTTCATTTTGAAAGGTGGTATTTTATTCCTTTTAAAAAAGTTCTAAGTATTTTCTAATTTTCACTTTGATTTCTTCGATTGATGGACTATTTCAAAGCTTTCAAACTTTTGTTATTGTTTTTTGCTACCCTCAATTACCTTTATGAGCATTCTGCAGGTGAACCTTCATCACTACTGCTTTATTCAGGCCCTGGATACCTCCTGCTTGGACTAGAATAACCACTGCACACTATCTATGGCACCAATGTTTTCTTTCCACTGATGTTCTTTGTTTTTTGTTGCTGTTGTTGTTGTTAACTGTATGTACTGGCATGTCTAATTGAGATCTTACAAAACTATTCCAGAGAAAAATTCACAGACAAAATCTCCTAGAGAGGGTATCAGAGAGGAATTAAATCACCTGGATTCACCTGAAACAATAGAGCCCATTGAATCAGGGCAGTCAAACATGCTACCTCTGAGGGCACAGTATTGATTTGTTTAATTTCTGAGAGGTCATCAGCCCTGAGAAAGGGAATGGGAATTGTTCATTCTCTTCCATAGTCTGTAACCTCATCCCCAACAGCTGCAAGGACATGTGTACGGGGAAGAATCTCTCCTTCTCATTCCCCCTCCTCCATTGCTATACACACATAACTGCTTGAATTTATGTTCATCACCATGTCCTGAGACGAGCTTTATTTGCTAGGCTTCATGTTTTCCACAGAGGCTTGCCGTGGGAAAGCCTCTCTTTATGTGACCCTCAAATCAACAGACAAGGCATTATTCCCCACTTGGATTCATCCCTAGAGTGACTTCAGTTCACTAACAATTCCTGATCAGTATACCTATCCATGCCTGATTCTAAGTCAGTGTCTATTCACTGACTTAGGCAATACCAGCTCCAGAAGGCAAAACACAAGCCAAAAGAGTCAAAATCTAGCCAAGTCCAGGCCTCCATTAACTTGTACCAACTGCAGCAACTGCTTCCAGACTGTTCCGATTTCTATCTCTCTCGCCACCCACGTCTGCCAGAGAAATCGTCCTCAAATATTACATATTTAAATGCCCCCCAAATTAAAACCTTTTCCCCACCAAATATCTTCAGTGGATCCTCGTTGTTTAAAAAATAAGGTACAAATGAAGAGAATCAGAAATGGTAGACAACAAGGTTATTATAACATAAACTATAAACACATACAGTTAACCCCCCGTATTTGTGATTTCCACATCCATGAATTCACCCAACTGCAATGAAAAATATTCCTCCACCCAAAAGTGAATGGCTGAGTCTGTACTGAACATTTTTTTCCCTGTCATTATCCCCTAAACAATATAGTATAACCACTATTAACATAGTATTTACATTTATTAGGTATTATAAGACATCTAGAAATGATTTAAAATATATAGGAGAATGTGCATAGGATATAGGCAAATACTACACCATTCTATATGAAGGACTTGAGCATCTGTGAATTGCGGCAGCTACAGGAGGTCTGGAACCAATCTTCCATGGATATTGAGGGAAAACTACTTGCTTTCTTTTCTCAGCATCTTTAATAGACATAAAGATATATAAAGTAATAATTACACCAACATATTTTTGGGTTTGTAACATATACAGACGTAACAGCAATACAATATATAGTATAACAGTAATAGTACAAAAAGGGAAGAGAGGGAACAGAATTATAGGAGTAACATTTATCTCACTGAGATTAAGTTAGTATAAATCTGAAGTAGGTTACGCTAGGTTAAGACGTATATGGAAAGCCTAGAAAAACACTAAAAATATAAGTGCAAAGACATCACAAATAAAGAGAATGTGTTAGTCTGTCCTTGCACTGCTATAAAGAAATACCTGACACTGGGTACTTTATAAAGAAAAGAGGTTTAATTCTACAGGCTTTATAGGAAGCATGATACTGGCATCTGCTCAGCTTCTCAGGGAGCCTCAGGAAGCTTACGATCATGATGGAAGGTGAAGGGGGAGCAGGCATGTCACATGGTGAGAATGAGAGCAAGAGTGTGAGAGAGCAGGGGCAGGGGAGCAGCCACACACTTTTAAATGACCAGATCTCATGTGAACTCAGAGTGAGAACTCACTTATCACCAAGAGGATGAACCAAGCCATTCATGAGGGATTTGTTCCTATGATTCAAACACTTCCCTCCAGGCCCTGTCTCCAACACTGGGGATTACATTTCAACATGAGGCAGGTGAGGACAAATATACAAACCATATCAGAAAAGTATAGACCCAACATCTGTTATGCATGTAGATACAAAAACTCTCAGCAAAATACAAAGGACTATACATTATACAAGTTTGCTAGGGCGCCATTAACAACGTCCCACAAACTAAGTAGTTTAAACAACAAAATCTTATTGTCTCACTGTTCTGGAAGCTAGAAGTCCAAGATCAATGTATTGAGAGGGTTGGTTCCTTTTGAGGGCACTAGGTAAGGATCTGTTCCAGGCCTATCTTCTACCTTCTGGTAGTTTCTTGGTTTGTGGCAATGTAACTCCAATCTTCACATGATATTCCTCGTGTATGTGTGTGTCCAAATTTCCCCTTTTTATAAGGATACCAGATCCAATGGACTAGGGCCCACTTTAATCCCATATGATCTCATTTTAACTAATTACATCCACAAGGACCCTATTTGCGAGTACAGTCACATTCTGAGGCACTGGGGATTAGGACTTCAACCTATTAATTTTTGGAGGTCACAATTCAACCCAAAACATACACCTTGACCAAGCAGAATTTATCCCAGGAATGCAAGATTGGTTTAACATTTGAAAATTAACTAAGGTAACATACCATATTAATAGAATAAAAGACAAACCCTGCAAGATCATCTCAATAGATGTAGAAAAAGAATTTGTAACAATACCCCTTTATGATAAAAATACTAAAAGAAAAAGGAGGCCAGGCACGGTGGCTCATACCTGTAATCCTGGCAGTTTGGTAGGCAGGTGGATCACTTGAGGTCAGGAGTTTGAGATCATCCTGGCCAACATGGTGAAACCCCTTCTCTACTAAAAATAAAAAATAATTAGCTGGGTGTGGTGGTGCACACCTGTAATACCAGCTTGAACCTGGGAGACAGAGGTTGCAGTGAGCTGAGATCGCACTGCTGCACTCCAGCCTGGTCGACAGAGTAAGACTGTCTCAAAATGAATGAAACTTGAAAATAATTACACTAAGTGATAGAAGCCAGTTGCAAAAAAAAAAAAAAAAAAAAAAAAACAAAACCCCACATATTGTATGATTACATTTATATGAAATGTCCAGAATAGGCAAATCCATGGAGATAAAGTAGATTAGAGTTTGCCTAGAGCCAGGGGTGAGATGTTGGAACAACTGCTAATCAGGGTACAGGATCTCTTAATGGGGTGATGAAAATGATCTAACATGTATTGTGTTAATGGTTGCAGAACCCTTTGGATATCTTCAAAACCACTGATTGGTACCCTTTAAATATGTGAATTGTATATGCTATGTAAATTATATCTCAATAAAACTGTCAGAGAGAGCAAGAGAGCAAGAGTGTGTAACGGAAAGTTTCTAGACACAAAATTTTTGATTGTAGACTATTTTCTTTGGTTCTGGCCCTATTCACTCGGGCCAGCAGACTGTATTAGGGAAGAGTTGGCCAAAGCCCAACTCTCTTGATCTGTGCTTTGCCCTGAGCAATTTATTTTTAAATAACCCTTTGTCAAATTAGACATACACAGTCTCGTTTTGCATATCCTCTCCTAGGGTTTTTGATGTTTTTATCTTAGGAGGATGGGGCATGGAGGGTATGTTTTCTTGTTTGAAAGATGTGATGGGTTAAGGGCCAGTTGTCAGTTTTAGTTTTCTTGGCCCCTGACTCATCATTTTCAACTCCAACAGCTTCCAGTATCAATCACATAGGAGCCAAACTCTCCATGAGCCAGAGAGTTCTCCCCACTGCCTAGAATTTCTAATTTTATTTAGTGGACATGCAGCCACTGCTCAGTGTTCTTAGAGATCTAGATGGGAAGGAAGTGATCCAAGGGAACCTTGTAAACAATGAAGAAATAGAGACGTTTTGGTGCCTTGGTCACCTGGTGCTGTAACAAATTGTGAGGCCAGGGACAAGGTTCTGGGATTGGATTGCCTTGGAGCTGGTTGGGTTGCATGGGTTAGAGTTGAGTTCTGCAAGTAGAGAACAGGAGCAAAGAACAATTGGGGTGGAAGCAGGGGCAGTTCAGGTAAGCTAAGTTAGTTTGAAAGAATTCCAATTTTAATGCTCTGGAAGCTGTGTATGGACTGGTTTATGAGGCTCACTCAAAGCCCCATAATCCATTCAGATTCACTTAGCCTTGCTCATAACCCTCCCATCCCTGTCCTCAGAAGCCCGGTTGCTACTGCAGTCATAGTGCATGCTGTCTCACCTTGGCTGGGGGTGGTAAGGATCAGACTTCAGTGTGGTCTCCTTCTCGCCTGCTGCTGTTGGATCCAATGTAGCTCAAGCACAAGGGTCTGACTCAGCTGGTTCCATTTCCTTAGCAGCTCTCCACAGAAGCCAAGTAATAAAACCTTGAAGTATGGAGGAACCGATCCCCGGTAAGGTGAACATTGACTAGTAAGAAAGACACAGGAATCAGGAGGGAGATGGCCAATGAACTTCTCTTTCCTACCTTCCTTCCACCCTTCCATTGTCTGTGCCACCATCATTCCACACAGCTTCTTCCACGACAGCCTGGTGACTAAGAAACTGCCAGTGTTTTCTTATGAGTGTATGACTGGCTAAGTAATGCAGCACTTTTTGTATCTGCCTTCTCTGCTTCCTGGCTCATTTCCTTTTTTCCCTTTTTCTTCCTGCTCTGGGATTATAACCCCCAATAAAGCATGAGTACATATGCTTTTTTTCATGCTCTGTTTTCTCAAAAAAATGAGCTAAGAGCTAAGGCAGAGCCCAAAGTCAAACACTATATCTAGAGAAATCAAAGTAAAAAGATGAAAGACTCAGGTCTGGTGAAGGTAGGAACAAAATCGGAGAAGGAATGAATAAAAGGGAGGGTGGTGAGTTTCCTGATTATCACAAATAGTGGCAGATATTCAAGGTTGCTGTCCTCAGAGAGTCCTCAGAGGAAGACATTAATTACATGCTGTTATCATGTACATAAACATATATGTGCAGGAAGTAAAGGAAAGTCATGTGGTATAAGGAGAGCCTGTAACAGTAAACTTGACTTAGTCTTGGAGAAAACGCCATCTGAGGTAAGATCCAATACTGGGACCCGATAAAGGGTGGAAATGAGAGGGAGCAGAGGCTGTTCCAAGCAAAAGGAATGACATCTACAAAGGCTCTGCAGTGTGAGGTACCATGCTGAGCAGGGGAACAGAAAGAGTTCTTTCCACAGAGAAAAGTGCCTCCCAGTTTTGACTTTCATTTTTTAAAACCTTAATCCACAATAAAAAATGTATATATATATATATATATAAATTAATTTATTTATTTTTTTTGAGTTTTTTTTTTTTTTTGATACGGAGTCTTGCTGTCACCCAGGCTGGAGTGCAGTGGCACAATCTCAGCTCACTGCAACCCCCACCTCCCAGGTCCAAGTGATGCTACTGCCTCAGCCTTCTGAGTAGTTGGGATTATAGGCATGCGCCACCACGCCTGATGATTTTTGTATTTTTAGTAGAGATGGGGTTTCACCATGTTGGTCAGGTTGGTCTCAAACTCCTGACCTTGGGATCTGCCTGCCTCGGCCTCCCAAAGTGCTAGGATTACATGCACGAGCCACTGCACCCGGCCTATATTTTATATTTTAACCCAGTACCAATGCACATATATGTGCTTATACAACTGTAACAAAAATCATGAAAAAATATTTCACCTTACTGCATTGGTGGTGGTGGTATGGGGTTCACAATAACTGTCGACTTTTAAATGTGCATATTCTTTGACAGACCGGTACCACCAGGACAGTGTACCACTGTGTTTACTGCAGCATTGTTTGCAGCTGTTTACGCGTATACAATGAAACATATTAAGGCAGATATGTAGGTACTGACATGAAAAGATGTACATGCTTGATAGTAAAGAGAAAGAGAACAGTGTACATATGATGTCAGTTTGTTAAAAAATCTTTATCTTGGAAGGAACATATCTATAGAAAAAGGGACAGGGATTAACGTAAACTATAGAAGGTGGCTACTTAGCAGAGGAGATTTTTATTTTCCAACTTTTGTATTTCATTATTTCTGCCTTTTAGACTACATGTATTACTTTTTCAATTATGAAAAAAATAATAAAAATACAATTATAACAAATGTCCAAAATAACTTGATGTTTCTTGTGGGTGATAATACAAGTCAAATTATAGTATGCTTCACTGGAAATTCCATTGTTTTCGTAATTGTAGTAGCAAATTACATCAAGTTTGACTAAACTGGGCATTTTGAGTTTTAGCTTCGTAAAATCATCTTAACCCTGTGAAACAAAGAGTGTGAGTACACCTTAGGTGTGACTTTCTCTGGTGCTGCCTTCTCGTTCATTGCTAAGAGACTTAAAACTGGGAAGCAGGTGGGCAATGATCAAAGAATCAATCGTTAGGACTGGAGAGAGACATCCAAAAGCATGCTCCCTTGGGGGAAATTCCCTCGGTTATTGTGGGCCTGGCTATAAGAAGGTGCAAAGTTTTGTCAGAAGTGAAAAGCTTTCAGTAGCAGGCTTTCATCCGTCTTACTCGATTGCTTTTGCAAAATACTGCAATAAATCTAGAGACTTGTATTTGACCTAATTGCTTGGATAAAACTGAACTCTTAACTTTGTACCCCACCAACGTGAAGCTATTAAACTGCTCTCTCCCCATACATCCCTCCACTACTCCATGCCTCCCTTCACCATTGTATCTTTAACTTTAAATTTTTCTGATAGGATTGGGCTACATAACATTTCAGGCTTACAATATTAGATGGGCCATACAGTTAGGATAAACTCTCTAGTATCTCAGAAGTTTCCCTGCAGCATTTAGATTAATAATTTACTTCCTTTCTTCAGTATGAGAGTTTCTCCTTAAAAATATTTAAGGAGTGGCTATATAATCCTTATTTAGATTCTTGATGTGAGGCAAGAGAACAACAAATCTTTTTAGGGGTGGTTTTTAAATTAATTTCTAAAAAGGTAACGTTTAGTGCTGACAGGACCAGAGTCTGCTTATCCCACTCTCTCCCTAAATAAGAAACGCAGCCCTCATGCGCAGAATCATCCTCACCATATAAAGTGAGTGAGTGAGAAGAAACCTAATCTTTCTTCCTGTGGAACAGACTGCTTTGGCAATGAGCCCAGTCATTCAGGAGTTCTCCATGATCTGTTATTTAAATCCAACTCATTATGACTGATTTTAGGCAGGAAGCCAAAATGAAAAGATGGACTAAATATATTTTTGGTTTTTCCATCCTGTCCCTTCTCGCCATCTCCAATTTTGACACAAGTGTTAACTCTGAGGTCAGGGTTAGATATGTAGACACCCCAACATAAGCACTCCATTAATCCAAAGCTAAGCTTTCTAAAGGTCCTGTGGTTTCAGATGAGATGGGATGCCACCATATTCCCAAGTAGACAACAGCCAGCTGAATTAGAAAATTTCTCATGATGCTGAACTTAAAACACCCCTTACTGTAGCTTAAATTCCAACTCCTTCAAGCTGAAGACATCTTCAAAAGATGTGTTATCTTTTTTATCCCTAGCACCTGGCACAGGGTCTCATGGGTGTTCAGGAAATGTCTTCTGAATGAAACTCTTAGGTCTATAGGTCTGTGTTTCCCCCATTTTCCCTCACATTCCACAACAGTGGCTATTCAATCGCTTCTCAAAGCCCTTCTAGATTGCTTGTAATTAAAAAAAATAATTTATATATAATCCATCTGGAATGTATTTTTGTTTGTAGCATGGCAATATAATTTTGCCCCAATCTGAAGTGCCATTTCTTAACATATATTAAATTCCCATTGACTTTACATTGTTTTTGTTTTTCCCTCACTTCAATAAGCTCCTCTATGAATTGTTTTATTCCACTCTTCTTTTCCTGTGTTAGTAACATACTATTTAAATGATGGCAGCTTTAGAGTATACTTTAATAGTAGTAGGGAAAAATCTCCCAAATCATACAATTTTATTCTTCTTCTTCTTTTTTTTTTTTTTTTTTTCATTGAGACAGGGTCTTGCTATTGCCCAGGCTGGTCTCGAACTCCTGAGCTCAAGCAATCTGTCTGCCTCAGCCTCCCAAAGTGCTGGAATCACAAGTGTGAGCCACCACATCTGGCCTCAATTATTCTTTTGAAGTACTGATTTGACTTTTCTCACACACTTTTTCAAATAAGTTTTATTTTTTAAGTTTAAATATACAGACAAAAGCAAAGCCAATTGGAATGATGATTAAAATTGTGGCAAAAGTAGATGTATGTATCATTTTTGGAGGACTGTTTTTCTATAATACCAATTATAGTCTTACAATTTAGGAAAATGGTATGCCTTAATATATTTTGCTTTTTAAATGTCATTAGTAATGCTTTATAATTTTTCCTCGTAATCATCTTTTATATAGCTTGTTAGAGTCTAAATATTTTATAGTGTGTTGTAATTAATAGGACTCTATTCCGTCATACTGTTTTAACATGTTTTTTTGATGTTCATTTTACATCAAGCCATTTTATGGGATTCTTAGATGTTCATTTATTCACCCAATCAATATTTATTGAGCAACTGTCACATGCTGGGCATATTTCTAGATATAGGGGATACAGTGGAGAACAACACAAATGTATATTAAGGAATACACTTTGCTGTAAGCCTCCACCCCACTTTCCTCAGCTTAAATGAATGAGGAGTTTTGTTTTTTTCTCACATAATGTAAAGTCTGGTGCAGGCAGTTTGGGGCTATTTTGGTTACTCCATAATGCCAAGATACATTTGGAAATTTTCAGTCTTTCTGATTTAATCTCCAGCACCTTCTGCATTCTATCTGCATTCCAAGAAGGAAGGTGGGCAAGGGCACACATGGGTTAAAACAAAGCACGATAGCTGAGCTGCCTGTGCTCCTCACTCTTTCTAACTTTCCTAGAATTCAATCCTATGACTTTTGCCTACATGAGTGAACATTGGTCATGTTCATGTCCATTAGCCACATCATTGCTCCTCTCAAAGCATGATCTTCTTAGAAAGAAGGGGAGAAATCTGAATAAGCATCTAGCAGGCCTGCCATGAGACAAAATTCTTGCCCTTATGAAGTTCAAAAATTTTATAGCTGAGAGTCTTGCATTTCAACACCTCAGCCCTTGGACCCTTTCTCTATCTCCAATCATCCCATTGGTGGTCTCATTCAGTCTCACGGCTATAAGTAGTTATGCTAGTAACTATCAAATTCACATTTCCAGTCCAGCCCACTCCCATGAACTTCAGACTCACATAACCAACTTGACATCTGCACTTGGATGTGTAATGAGTATCTCAAATTTAACCTGTCCAAAATGAATACCTTTACCAAAACTATTCCCCCTGCCAGTCTTCTCATTTCAGTAGACAATTCGATCCTCCTGATTGCTCAGGTCAAAAATCTTGGAGCCATCCTAGACTGTCTCATATCTTATGCCAGGAAATCCTGTTTGGCTCTACCTCCACCTTCTAACTACATCCAGAATCCCACCACTTCTCACCATTTCTACCACTAACATCCTGATCCAAGCTACCGTTATTTTAGCCTGCATTACTGAGACAGCCTCTTAACATTATTATTCACATAGATAATCCTTTCTGAATTCTGAGTTCTTTTTTTTTGACAGGGTCTTGCTCTGTCACCCAATCTGGAGTGCAGTGGCACAATCACAGCTCACTGCAACCTCAGCCTCCTGCATAGCTGGGACCACAGGTGTGTGGCACCATTCCTGGATAATCTACTTTTTACAGAAAGGGGGTCTTCCTATATTGGGGTCTCCCTATATTGCCCTGGGCTCAAGAGATCCTCCTACCTTGGCCTCCCAAAGTCCTTGGATTATAAGCGTGAGCCAGCACACCTGCTTGATAGACCAGAATTTGTTTTAATTGATCTTACCTTATCCTTTACCTCTGCTACTTATCCCACTATCATTCCCTATGCTGTCAGTACCAAAAACTGCAGCTCCTCTATAATCTCAAGGTTATGCACTCCACTTTTCACAAGCATTCTTATCTAAACCCATTGTTTCCTCCATTATTCCCACTCCAGCATCCCTCTAACTCCATCAGGGCCTACAATCCTTTAATCCCATACTTTCCCACTGCTCCTCACTTTCCCCTTATACTCTCATTTTTCCTCTTAAGCTTAAATTCCATGGTCAATAGTTTCTTTGTCCACATACCCTCAACTTCTTTGTCCTCTTCATCGCACTTGTCTGACAAACTCCCAACCCTGATTAAATCACATCTCCACCTAATCTGGGCCCAGACTCACAGAGCTGCTGGGCTGGAGAAAAA